ACACGAAAACTATTCCAAAGTCTTTCCTAATCAATTTTAAACAACTCACCTTATTCATATTATGCCAAAAATTAAATTAAAAAAAACAAACCTTTTTGTGTATCGAAAATATTTACATTCAAATCGTTTTGCCTACTGTTCTATTGTAAGTAGTGTATTTATGAAATTAAAAAAGTAAGCATTTGAAACATGCGCGCCTTTTATTTTGCTCAATTTCCAATGAATACATATGTTGATAGCACTACTCGATTGTGAATAATAGATAGAAGTTCACAGTGAGCGCTTTCCTTGAGTTTGAGAGAAACTGATCTAACCATATATGAGAACATGTGTGAATTACCACCTAAATAACAAAGAAGTCAGGTTATTTTTCGCTAAAGTTAAACAAACCCGTTGCTTTGGTAACACTTAGGTAGTCTGTCGAACTGTCCAATCAAAGTCATGTGTGCTTTAATTTTGTTTATCACTTGATTAGTTAATAATACAGATGACCTTGCAGGCGTAAATGCCTTATAAGTTAAATAGTCGTAAAAGTGGAAAGGCAATTATAGTAATAGTGTAATTAACGTATGAAAAAGTATAATCAATAAAGTGAAGTAATGAAAGGTTAGATTAAAGTGTGAAATTTATGATAGGCATATTCATTAGGCATATGCTGATTGTTTGAGGTAACTATTGTGTTCCTCGTTGACTGATTCTGTTAGACCCAGATGTGCAGTCTCTGTTAACATGTCGCGGCTCCTAGTATGGACGTTTTGACGATATCTGAGGATTAAAGTGATATTATTTGGTAGATAGTGACTAGTAGTGAGTATCCAAAATGAAAATTCCTTCCTCTTCGATACTCGTCAGCTACATGTGCCAGCAATGCCGAGTGATGGTGGTCTCACTGAGACTCGAACCCAGAGCCTATGTTTTCAAATTCCAAAGTGTTATGTCAAATATGGATGAAGACGATCCTTGTGTTGATTCCTCACAACCCAAGGTACAGACAGAGGGATAGAGAGTATCAGGAAGCTCAACAATTTTAATGAATCATAATGAAAACGATAAATCATATAAATGACTTGATCCAATTTGATCAGGTAGTTATTATTTACTGAATGATATCGAATTGTGCTGCTAATACATCCGTTTGCTGCCTTAACACGGGAACACACTTCGAAAAAAAAAAAATTTCTTCAATAAGGTTCTTAGTTAAAGACCAATAACTACGCCTTAAGTAATTGGCTGTATAGGAGTTTTTGAATTAATTCGTGAACGCAGATTGAAATAGCTATCATTAGTAAGTTGTTAATAATACGCTGTATGTGTGCATGGATGCATTGGTTTAACTGAAAAGCTGTCAGACAGTTTAGCAGAATAATAAAGCTTTTCGAAGAGGTTTGTTCAAATGATGCTCCCTGCTACGGGGGGTGGGGGTATTTAAGTAGTTTTTTATCTTCTCCTTATGTCAACATACGTAAGATTTCCTTGTGGTATCATTCCTACCTAGCTCACTTCTAGTTACACACTATGGCCAAACATTATTTTTATTCTTTTTGCCCGTGGTTTGAAGCTTCTTTGGAGGTTGGATTGTTTCCAAGGGATAGGGTTGCTACATCCCTCACCCATCACCGATAATTTTCTTAATTGTGATGGACTGGATTATACGCTGACTGTGCGGAGTGGAAAGACAGGAATATGTTCGACCAATAGGAAGACTCCAGAAGATCTGGATTCCGCGCGTGGATGTCATACAGACTCGAAGACTTACAGATGAAAACCAACAAACTGGCTGAAGAGGCTGACGGGCAGCGAAGACAGGGCTCCAGGTGAACATAGAGAAGACGGAGGTGATGAAGATAACCAACAAACAACAAGCGTCAGTCATCATCAATGGCAGGAATCTGAAAGAGGTTATTTCCTTCACTTATCCGGCTAGGAAGCATCGTTCCAACCACAGGTAGGCGAATAACATGGATACAGATGTCAAAGCAGGCCATCCAGAATCGGAAAGGCAAGATACGTCTTCATCAATCTGAAATCAGTTTGGAAATCTTTTGCACTCACTCAGCATAAAGAACAAGATTCGCTTGGATTTTTAACACAAATATGAAATCAGTCAGTTCTTTTATACGGGTCAGAAACTTGCACTGCGTGTCAGTTACGAAAAGCATTGCCAACAGGTTACTGCAGACTTTTATCAACAGCTGCATCTTCTCTAGCTCCATACTGAAGACCAAGTGGCAGGCTAGCCGGAAAGAATTAGCAACAATAAACTTTGGGAACTAACCAGTCAAGAACATGTTTCTCAATAAATATACAGGATAAAAGTGGAGATGCACTGGGCATACGCTGAAGAGACCATCGAATTACGTTCCGCATCAGTTCGTCCATTGCTCGAGTGGAACCCAAATTGGAAGCGAAGAATAGTTCGTCCGAGGATGACATGGAGAAGAGTGTGTGGCGAGAGAAGGAGATGAGAGGCGATGGTGGACCCTGCCAAAGAAGACAGCAGAAAATAGAAGAAGGTGGAGATGTGTTGTTGAAGGAAGTAGTAACAAATAATAACACACCCAACCTTCCCTCTTCCCCCTGCGTCTGGACCAAGCAGTAAACTAGTCGTGGTTTTCGTCCATCCACAGCTAAGTTATTTGAAAAAGTTTCTTTTGGAAAATCTGAAGAGATCAACTGCCTCTGACCATAGGTGTTTCTATTCTGTCTCCCACCTTAAACGATATAATATAGTGAGTGATACCGAGGCTAGACGTAATGTTAGATAAGGAAGGGAAATCAACTGATGAGGTTGTGAAGCCGTACCAATTGAGGTGGCTAGTATACGTGTTACGCATGCCTAACCATCGTCTTCCTCGACGATGTCAATGTTAGCTGACATATTATTGGATTAGAAAAGTATTAGGGGTGCAGTCTCTAACTATTGGAGTGAGCCACGTAGAGATAGATGCGTAAACTGTCTAACTGGGATTCTGGAAACACTAAAAACCAATGGCTTGAGACAATTGATGGCATGGCTTGAAATTCTCCTCAATGGCACAGATGTAATCACCCTTTCTGATCTTCTAGATACGTTAAATCTTTATTATCCTTCATGTAATAACTATTCCTCCCGTTTTCATCTAGCTGAAGGTGATTAGAGGGAATCAGGTGCGGGGTGCCACTTAGACTAAATG